TTTGTCGGGTTAAGCATTTCCTCAAGCATGTAAGCTCGACAAAGTTAAAAAAATAGAAACATCTCAGGAAATACAAGGCTAGTCGACACGGAGAAGCAAGCGTAAATCAAGCTACGATGCTTACGGAGTCAAGTTAGCTCGGCGGAGCAATCGGGAACGAGAACACATTGACTTAGCGCCATTTTGACACAAAGCTGAGTTTGGTAGCATCGATCTCGTCTTGAGTCATCTTTAAAGCTTGGCACTCTCCTAACGAATACTACCAAGCTGGGGGGCTAACTGTTGGGGTCAAAACTCCCTCCGACAGTTTTCTCTTGTAAAATGGCTAAGTATAGAAATAAATATAAATGGGAAGGTGCCTAGTTCACTCTGAAGACCTGGACGACTTGCCAGAGTAACTCGTTTCGTCTAACACTGGCATGATCCGCCAACTATTTCTGCCTCTTGTCGACTTCTCGTCTTCTGCCGACTACTGCCACTGCCAACCACCAGTTGCGCCGACCACTAACCCTCGTGACACCGACGCAGTAAAAAGCTCGACAAAGTCGATCCACATTAACTTATTTGGGCCGGCTACATGAAGTTGGGCCGAGAACATAAGCCCAAATTGGCAGGATGNCAACATGACGAGATGGCAAGGTCAGGCCCAAGATGGCGAAGCACATGGCAAGCGCCGACTACGAGAAATAGGAAATCCCGAGAAATACGGAAAACTTCCTTATCTCTTATTTGTTAGANNTAGCCGACTTANACTTGTATAAATACTCTTNTACTCCCCTTGAAAAAGNGATCCGNAACTNTTTGGCAAAAACACTTAGCATCAAATCAATAAAAGCTTTCTTAACGCTATTTTCGTGTTTTTTGTCTTTGTTCTTGATTGTTCTTGTGATTCTTTCCCAGAGATCTTGTTTCCCTTAAAAACCCTTGACAAATTCAATTGAGTTGGTTTCGACCTCCACAACCGTTACATGATTTTCTGTCTTGAACAAAACTGAGCTTAGATAGGATCTAGTTCTGAAGTTAGAAAGCTGAGTTACTTGTGCTTTTGCTAAGTTAGATTCTGCTCTGAGGTTCACATTGGCAAGGAAGGTTCAAGAAGTGCGACTCATGTCTGGAAAAGAGGAAGAGCGAACGATGTCGTGTTGTTCCCAAAATGTTTTCACCTCTATGACTGTACTGTCAAACCGAGAGTTATACATGATGAGAGATTTATTGTCCCTAATATTTCTGCGGTTCTCAAGCTATGCATACAAGTCGGCGTAGACCTTGATAAATTCCCATCAAAGAGAAGATCAAGGTTTTGGTGTAAGATTCTACTACTCAAGATCTTGAGTTATGACTTTGGTTCTGTGTGGTTTGGGAATGCAGTTAAAAATGGTGGAAGCAACTCAACATCAAGTAAAGAAGACAATTCAAAGGTCATCAACTTCTCCATTTTGAGAAAAAAATTTGCAGCTACTTTTGTTTTCTTTTTGGGAAAGTTTAATGTGTTTTTCATGAACACGAGATAAATACCTTTCATTCAATTAATTTATGAAATATACGTTTTGTAATATACAGATATACGTATTGAAATATACGTTTTGTATCCGAAATGGACAACTTTCACTCAATCAATTTATAAAATATACGTTTTGTAATATACGGATTGTAATATACGTTTAAAATTTTATAAAACTTAATAAATTAGTGTTTTTATAGTATATTGTATATTTATATATACTCATTTGATTTTTTTTTTAATTTATTTTTTATAAAAAATAAATTATTTTTTTATTATTTAAAATCTCATTAAGTATCACCATTGGACATATAAAACTTAGAAAAAAAAGTTAATGAGTCTCATAG